GGCGTCTCAAATAATATGCGCATCTGTCAAACGCCATCATATGGCGTCGAGTGATAGACTATTTGTAACATATATATGATATATATAACGTATATATATATATATATGTTATGCATAATCTGATAGCTTATTTAATAACGTTTCCATTGATATATGATTTCAATATAATTACTTAGTATATATATACATATATACTTAGTATACTTGTTATATACTAAGTACTTCGGAAAGTGCTCGACAGATGCGCCATATTAGCCAAATGACCCCGACATTCGAGAGGATGGAAAAAAACAAACGTTGGCTTGGATTGTATGTCCTTCAGTATGGCTCCTCGTCCTAAATCTACCTCGGCATGAGTAAACTCTACCGGCATAAACCTAGAGTTCATTGGAGCTACACAAGCCCCACCACGTCGTCAACGTAGAGATACAACGGTGGGGGTATTATTATATTATTACTCACTTATCTAAATATTTGTCTATCATTTTTAGCTTTAAGTAACGTATGACCGTCCGTGAAGTGAATATTAGGCTCTATTTGAAAGTCAGCGTCGCTGTCATTTAGTACAGCACCAGTTAGCGGAAATAGAGACCTAATTTGACATCACAATAATCCTTTTTTTTAATATCTCTTATTTTCTTTTTCTTTGTGATGTCAAATAAAGTTTTTCTTTCTTTGACCCAATTGTACTACCTTGTGGCACACCGTAAGAGGAGCTGGATTCATTACTTAATAAGCCATTAACTTTATCACGTTGACTATCCGAAAGGTAGTCCTGGAACCACATAAGTGCATTTCCACTGATTCCCATATTTTCAAACGTGTTAGTAATATTGGAACAGATACGGTTTCGAATGCCTTCTGAAGGTCCGGGAATACTCCCATCACTTTTTCATTTTTAGCAAGATAACGTGGAATATTTGTAGCAAGTTGAAGGACAGCATCACCTGTGGACCTGTTGGCACGAAAACCAAATAGGTTTTTATCTAAAAGCTCATTATTTTCTAAATAGTTCATTAATCGCTTGTTGAATATATATAATAGTTGAAAAAAGTGAACTTTAAACAGACAGCTGCTTAAAAATAAAATTTGACATCTACCTAGGGCTATGGCTAGGCTAGGGTATTCCCCAGAAACATGTTTTGCTTTAACTTTACATTACTATTCACCGAAAGCTTAACGATATGTGCGAAATATCAAAAGTGTTGAAATTTGTCTGCCTTTATCACATACTATAACAAAGTGTTATAGTACAATTGATGGCCGACTTGGCTAAACAAAAAAAAAGCGTTAACTGTTTTTAAACTTAGACTAGAGAGTAACAGTAAGAAATTGTATTGTATATTAGTGATAGATGAAATTAAAATAAAACAATTGACAGAAGTCTTCAGACTTAGTAAAGGGTGCAAGTGCTGACCTAAAAGCACGGCTGGTGACCCAAGCTTTACACATAGTTCATGAAACCTATGGCTTAAGAGTTAGACTTTTGCTTGAATACCGAAAATTTACAGACTACTTTATTATATCCACGTACAGGACACAATTTTTATTTATATATATATATATATATATATATATATATATATATATATATATATATATATATATATATAGCTCAGGGCAACTATGTAATAAAGCCCTTCTATTTTTGACATATTGTAATATATTTTCGTATACTTTTAATCTTATGTAATCAATCTGACAATGACATTTTGCTTAATTTGTTATTTATTTAATCTATTGGACATGTATTCTTTAATTAATTTGACCTTTTGACATGTATACTATATTATTATTTAAAACTGTAATTTGTAAATTAGCATGCTGACGTTTTGGGCATACTGTAAGCCAGAAATGCTGCTGCTGAAACTGGTACGTAATGCTTTTACGGTTTATAAATATTTTATCCAATCTGTACTAAATTTACCTTTATTTGAAGACGTTGCGCCCATAGCTAATTTTTAAAGTTTTATAATGATATTTTCGATATTCTTGACTCAAAAACTTGGTCTAAAAGATTTAAATGAGCATTAAATAGTAATAACTATGAAAGAGCCCCTGCCAGGTTGAATGAGGCTAAAGATGTTCTATTAAAGATATAAATCAATGTTATTTCTCGTAATTACGTATACATATGATTTTTAAACAGTCCTAGGTACATAGGATTTTTAAGATTTCTTGTGTGCATTGAAACTGCTAAACACACATTTGACAATCTGGTATTAGGCCCGAACGCTTCAAATATGATTTTTCAAAATGTTCGGAGCAAATGGTGCGAGTCCGTTTAGATATCCAAGATTCATGGTTTCTACAAGCTGCAATCCAAGTTTGCCACCTAAGAGGAAATCTGTACAAACAAACCAAATTTATTACTTTTTGTAATACTTTATTGTGAAATTTAAATAAAAACTACAAACCGGTTCTTATTAACTTATCGATAACTAAAATTGTGGCGCACATGACTATAGTACAATACTTTCGGTTTCAGATATACCAGTTTATTTTTATAAAAATTGCACACTTTTGCTGCGAGGTAGCAAGTTTCGATTTGAATTATTTGGCCTTTATTTTGTATAATATTTTGATAAATACTAGTTATCAATTATATTAAATTATATAATATTCAGATTCGTTTTGAAATTGAGCTAAATATATAAATCATTTTACAAAATCCACTACAAATCTATATGTAATGATTATTATTCATCACAAACTGATCTAGTTGTTAGGAAATACATTTGCATTAATATAATTAACCTGTGTAGTAAATTATATTTTTTAAAAATAGATTATTTTTACTTTATGATTTACGATGGCCACACTTGGTACTTGACGAAAATATTCAGGAAGTACGAGTTTTAATGATAATATTTCTTGAATATTATGTTAAACAGTTAACAGGTGAAAAGCCACGTTGTCTCATCGTAGATTTGACGTTTTTGATTGTTTTTTGCGTGTAAATACACTGCAATTCGGCATTTTGTCAGAGCTCGATTTACTGGCACGATCACTTCGGAATGGGCATATAATATTGTAGTCTTTCTTTGGGAATGGCGCACGACGCGGAGCTACTAGTTTTATATAACGGGCATGAGTCGGACTCTCGTATCTTTTATAGAGGGTTATGCCTTGCGATGCCGCCTCTTTTGGTTTTGCCTGCAGTACACTACTCGCAAAGTTGAACGAAGTTGGGCAAAGACGAGTGTGTACAGGGACACTTCGCTTCACTTCAGGCAAACTCGCATCGCCTCGGGTGACTTCCGATCGCTGTCGGTATTTTCCGCCCGAGTCAAAGGACCGAAGTTTCGAGGACGAAGTGACCCTGTATATTACTCGGCTTACTTATAAAGTTGACGTTGAGCTGTTTAATTTAAAGACGTTTTAATTCGATCCCAATCGCTTTAGCCAAAATGAAAAATTTCAGTGAATTGAAATTATCCACCACCTCCTCTTTTTCCATTTATTTTTTATTTATTTTTTTGCATCCAATACACGCACATAGTTAAAATATGCAACAGTGCATAAGCAAACGCAGCTGCCACTTGTACGTCCTCCAGCTCGCCTAGCGTGTGAGCGACTAGTTCCCTTACGAAGTTGAGCGAGTGTGTACAGAGCATAGAGTAGAGTAATATATACAGAAAGTACAGAGGCTCCTCGTACCTCGGCTGACTTCGGCGAACACTTTCGGCAAAGAACTTCTCGAGTAGTGTACTGCAGCCCTTTAATACGTCGGTACTCAAAGATTCATAGTGAAGTTTTGACGTCTGGGCGTATCAGGATCAGGACAGGACTCAGGTAATCAGTAGCTTGCTACATATTTATTTATCTATGGTAAGCAGGTTCAGTTGTTGGCAACACTGCGTCTATGGTAGACATGTGTAAATCACTCATTTCTAGCGACCGAATCATTCTAGTACATTTGGGCACGCGTACTGGTACATTCGGATCGATCATTCATTTCAGGCTCCAGTACTCTGTGAGTCTGTGAGATCCATTGCGAACCGAAAATTTTATATTTGAGATTTGATAGCGCCATCTACTACATGCTTTAGGTAATAAAGTCATTTTATCGAAGTAAAACTTATTAATTTTCAAGGTGATAAAAACTATCGACGCTAGATGGCATAATCACAAAAACCTCAAGTTATCATATATTTTAAATATTTAATAAATTTGTTTATTCTTAAATTTCATTCCTAACAATACACAGTTTCATCTTACTTTACATGTCTAAAAATAGGGATTATAACATTTATTTGCTACGAAATTAAACTTTTACCTAACTTATATTTATATAAGATGGTTGAAAATTATCATTAAATAAATCATTTATCATGAAATCTTTTGAAGTGTTATTTTTAGTAAACTCTACGAAATGATATTTGTAACTCATAGATTTAACAAATAAATATAATAAAATGTAAAATTATTTTTAATTTAGGTAACAATATTATAATTAAAAACCCTTAAATAATAAATACTGCTGATACTGTGCAGTTTCCGTATATATTCTCCGCTAGGAGTAATGGTGTTCTGTGTATATATTACACTTATTACTTTATGCTCTGCAGTCTGCATTGTCAATTCAATTCGCCTGTTTATTCGGGATTCGGTCGGTTTGCAGCTCATTCACAATTCAAACAAATCGCGGGTTAAAAGGTACCGTCAATTGTTTGTGATTGGTTGTACATTCAAAAACAAATGAATGAACCGTCAATACTTCTAAGTGTACCAGCTCAAACGAACGAATCATGCATGATTGACACATGTCTAGTCTATGGCAATGGCAAATAACTACAAATTATCTACCAAAGCAAAAAATAAATAGCCAAATATTTATTTATTATTTTTATGTATATAATAGTAATACAAATAATACATAAAATTATACCTTTCAAATATATTATTTATATAATATCCATACTGATTGGGTGTTTAGTGACAGAAATCAAATATGTAATAATTTGTTAAATGATCACAGAATATTTTTAATTAATAAGATGGAACCTATTGAAATTAGTAGTACCATAAAACATATTCCTAATCATGATTACAGCAACTATGAAATTGTGACTGTGGATAGTTTTAACGTAACGTATGAAGATTTTTTTGAAAAATTTATGCTAAAAAATTTGCCTTGCATAATTCAAAACGTAAGTGTGAATTGGAATTGCTCAAAGAATTGGGTGGAAAATGAAAATATAAATGTTGACTACATCATATCAGAATATGGTAACTTAAAAGCTCCAGTTGCAGACTGTAATAAAATAAATTTTAATGCTCATTGCAAACACATTATGGAAGTGAAAGATTATATGTCATATATAAGAAATAATAGTAAAGAAAATTTATTGTATCTAAAGGACTGGCACTTGAGAAAAAATAAACCAAATCATAATTTTTATGATGTACCTGAGATCTTTGCTTCAGATTGGCTGAATGAATTTGCTGAAGATAACAATGAAGATGACTTTATGTTTGTTTATATTGGTCCAAAAGAGTCGTGGTATGAATTTATTGTATATTTTACATAGTAGTGTTTGAAAAGATACCTAATTTTTACTTAAATTACTCTTTTAAAACAAAACTGAAGCAATTTTTTCTTGTCTAATAACCTAAAAAACTACTATTCTTCATATTTTTTTTAAATGGCATAAGAATCTATTGAATTCTTTGCCCATGGGCATAACAATAAATTAGTTAAAAAATTACAAAAAAAAATTCTGGCCTTTGGTAGATAGAATTTAAACATCTCTTTATTTCAGATACAAAATACCCAGTCTGGTGACACAAAGCATGTGGCAGTGGGTGCTAGAACCACCAATCTGTCTCAGCATGGCAATTATGGTAAATCCTCTCTACTATGGGAGACTATGTCCAGCAGTGTGCAGCATTTTGTGGTTGAAACAAGACAGAAATAAATCTGATAGTAAATTTATAAAACAACCTATGTCATACATGAGATTAATTACACTTATTTTATTGTCTACTAGCTAGTATCCAACACATTGCTCCCACAGAAGAAATAATTGTGAAAATATTGTTTTAAATTTGGAAGTTATATTGTTTTATTAGGAGTGATAATACAATCATTGAAATATTATGATCTATCTTTCAAATAAATTGTCATTACAATATAGGTATAAGCAATAATTTGACAAGTTTTACCACAATCTGATAAATTGTACGGCAGTGCATAAAATGCGACCAAACTAACATGAATTTTTATATATTAGATTTATTGCTTTTGATTTGCACATTACAAACTAGTCATACACTGCTTGTGAAAATCAATATTTATACAACAACAGTAATTCAGTAGTAAAAGTAAATAGCTAGTATATTATCTCTTCTATGAAGTTATCTGTAAAAAATATAATGTAACTCATTGATACTTTTAGGAATGAGTGCCATTTTTTAATTTACATTTAAGAATTTTTTTATAGGATGGGGTGAAAAACGCGCACATAGTCCACCTGATGGTAAGTGGTAATATGATCAATCTCAATAATGAATAAAAATGCAGATGCATTATCACTCGTGAGGACTAAGATGGAATACCTCGTTTCCAGTAAAAAGGGTCTCCGGTTCTCTACACTTACCATATGAAACAGCTGTATTAAGCTAGTATTTTACGCTGGTATTCTGTAAGAGTATGGTCCTTCCCCGGTCGAGCCGACCCATTCTTGCTACAACTATACTACTAATATAACTACAGCATGGCTCTACCACTTTTAAAGATGCTTGTTTTTGAATAAAAAAACTTAACTAAGTTGGAAAAGTAGACAACTGTATAAGTGTTTGAATGGTATTTTTATTAAACTAGGGGTTTAGAATAAAATTGAATTAGTGTAACTTTAATGTTGCAATAATTTAATACACATAAAGCAGCCAAATGCTTGAGCAATTATGAGTTTAAATAGCACAGAGATAATTCCTTATGTGTGTGTTTATTGCTTTTGAAGTACATACAGTTACAGCTTTTCAAAAGTCCCCTACAGAACATAGTCCTACTCCCAATATCAAATGCATATGAAGTGGACAGAATATTTTAATTCTTAATCAACATGATAAGGAAATTTGAATTTGACAGGTTTATTTTTGAAATGCTAGAAGCTAGAAGCAATTGCTTTTGTGGGTCTGTCTCCCCGAATCTGGCAATTCTAACATCTTTTGTTTTTTTATTAACCAATAAATAATAATATGGGAACTATTTTAATTAGACTGTAATAGTAAAATTCATTATCTTTGCAGGACTCCCTTCCACTCCGATGTTTATTCATCATATAGTTGGTCTGTAAATATAATAGGTAGAAAAAGATGGATTTTACTACCTCCAGGTGAGGAAAATAAGCTGAAGGATCGGTTTGGAAATTTACCATTATTATTTAACCCCCAAGAAGCAAATAATGTAAAGTTTTTTGAAGTTATTCAAGAAAGAGGGGATGCAATATTTGTTCCATCTGGATGGCATCATCAAGTTGTTAACATTCTTGATACAATTTCAATTAATCATAATTTCATTAATGCAAGTAATGTGGCTCTTGTATGGGAAGCGTTGCAAAAAAATCTTATAGCCGTTGAAAATGAAATTGAAGAATTTAGGGATACTCCTGAATTTATCACTCAGTGTCAGCTTATCCTTAAATCAGTTTTTGGAATGGATTATACAATGTTTTTGAATCTTATCATACACATAGGAAGTAAAAGAATACAACAGTTTTATGGTAAAAACGTTTTAACTTTCCATAAATTTTCATTTGGTAAAAATCACATTCTCTTTGATTTAAATATCATATCTCAATTATTATGCCTAATACAAAAACATCCTTTATATAAAAGTGAATGTACCACACCAAGCATAAAAGTAAGTATATTAAACATCTTAAAAACTATTGAAATGTTAAACAAATAATATATTTCACTTCACTTTTATAACCTTGATTTTTTATTGGCATATATAAAACCTCCACTTATTAACTCTTCAATTTCAAGGTAGCTGTATCCTAACTCTAATAATACTTGAATTGTATGTTCTCCAGATTTTGGTGATGGTTTTTTTCCAGATGAAATACCAGGTGTTCGAGACAATTTCGGTGATGGTTCTGGCACAATAAAATTATCATAATCTCTGTAAAATGAATTCCGCGACCTATTACAGTCGTGTGTATCAACATTGTCAATATTTAGAACAGGAGTGACACAAGCATCTAGTTTATCAAATATTTTACACCATTCTTCTTGTGTTTTTGTCAAAAATACCTCCTGAAACTTCTTTTTACAACTCTCCAGATTTATTCCTTGCTTATATTCAATCTCAGATAATTGCAATCCTTTAAGCAAATTTTTGTAAAATTTGGGCTCTAAAGCCCCTACTGCCATAAATTTACCATCTTTTGTTTCATATGTTGAATAAAATGGAACTCCTCCATCTAACATATTTGTTCCAGGTTCTCCAAGCCAAATGGGTAGTTTTCTTGATTTAAAGAGCCATGTGCCTACATAAGCTGCTCCTTCTGTCATGCTACAATCAATTACCTGACCCTTACCAGATTCGCTTCTTTCTAAGAGGGCCAAGAGAATACCTACGACACATAATAAACTACCCCCAGCAAAATCAGCAACAATGTTAACAGGCACCAAGGGAGGTTGTTTATTTTTACTAAACAGTGACAATATACCTGACATAGCTACATAATTTATGTCATGGCCAGCTTTGTTTTTAAAATATCCTTTTTGCCCAAAGCCAGATAATCGAGCATATATTAAGCGAGGATTGTCCTTTAAAAGTACATCTGGACTTAATCCTAATTTTTCCATGACTCCAGGGCGATAAGTGTCTAATAAAATGTCTGATGAAGAACACATTTTCTTCAATATTTCAATACCTTTATCAGATTTTAAGTTAATATTAACCATTTGTTTGCCATTTGACATCACATCAAATACGTTGGACAGTGGACTAATCTGTGAAAAATAAAAACCTTTGAACTTAATATTAAAATGTGAATATACACAAGAGTTAGGGTTCAAAATTATTTACACCACCATCAAACTTAAGGTAGGAAAAGTAGGAAAAGGGAACATGTCTCTAGTGCAACCACATATTAAAAATTAAATTAAATTTATTAAAGAAATGCAGGAAAAATATTTGTAGGCTTACAAGTTAGTCGGTTAAAACCCGTTAATTTTGGACATGTTTTTAAAAGCTAAACCAAAAATGTTATCATGCTATAATACCAGAATAAAAAAATAAGTTGGGTCAACAATCGCTTGGATCTGATTAATGTTTTTGTACAAACTTTAGTTGAAAGTTTCATTTTCTAATGTGAGTGTGTGGCATCATTATAGATATCGACCTTCTGTCTGAGCAGGGGGCAATGTGGCGGTGTCGTTGTCACGACACAAGCGAAACGCACCGAAGCCAAAATCACGTAATGAAAGTTCAGCAATAACTATTTACAGAACAGCTATGTATTAACACACAGACCGCCTGGGCACTCCCTGGACAGAACACCTTGTCCGATGGGAGATCTCCCTTTCCATCCACAGCCAAGTGTGACTACTGACTAAATGAGTCGTTTTCCTTCATCGGCCAAAAGTGACTTCTATAGCATCATATGTTAAAAAAATGCACTAACCTTTTGGATAACAGTAACAGTAGCTCCAAAATCTGCTAATACTGATCCGCAAAACGGACCTGGAGCTAACCCCATCATTTCAATCACTTTTATACCTTTAAGTGCCATTATTAAGGAAAATCAGTTTTTAAATAAAATGTTACGCTTGTATTGGACTTTGGTTTGGCTTAACTTTCCAATAAATACTATAGGTCAAGGAACATACTATCAGTTGCTACCAGTGTTGAATCGGACAGGTAAAAAAATGTAGTACGTTTCGTTCAAAAAGGTAGTATTTATTAAAAAAAGATCGTACATCTTAGAAATAAAATATAACACGATAATATTTTTATGTATACAAACGCTTTTTGATACATTGACAGAAAACAGTTTTAAAAACGTTATTTTGTGAAAACCGCGTCCATGGAGGTTAAGGAACAGGAGAACAATCGCTGGGAAGAATAGTGTCTCTGAAATATGGACAAAATGAGTGAGGCGCTGCGATCACTAAGTTGTATCAATAATTTTATAAATTATTATTATAATTAGATGGTTTATGATTTATTTTTATAATATTTCACCTTTTTTAAATGTTTCTTTTTGTCAAAAATTAAAAAATTACTTCGCAGACACTACTTACCGACGGCAGCACGGCTATAAATTCTACAAATTTTCAGGGACAGGCGGGCTATGCTTTAGCACTTATAGTTCATAAAAGATAGCTTGATCTCCGCGACAGTTGTCAGTAAAAATCACGCCTATGAAGTCCTGAATTTTTTAGTAGTACCTAAAGACTGTACCCAACAGTACCTGTCAATGTCGTACTTTATGGGCATGCACTATGTTCATAAAAGATAGCTTGATCTCTGCGACAGCTGTCTATATATGCACTAATTAGGTCGGCATGCCCATAAAGTATGACATGACAGGTACTGTTGGGTACAGTCTTTACTACTAAAAAATCCAGGACTTCATAGGCGTGATTTTTACTGACAACTGTCGCGGAGATCAAGCTATCTTTTATGAACTATAAGTGCTAAGGCATAGCCCGCCTGTCCCTGAAAATTTGTAGAATTTAAAGCCGCGCTGCCGTCGGTAAGTAGTGTCTGCGAAGTAATTTTTTAATTTTTGAAATTTAGGATTTCATAGGCGTGATTTTTACTGACAGCTGTCGCAGAGATCAAGGTATCTTTTATGAACTATAGCGATCGTTCTCCTGTTCTCTAACCTCCATGATCGCGTCAGTACGAACTCATGGTAAGATGTTTTCAAATTTATAGATATAATACGTCATACTTGCTCTATAATGGCAATATGAAAGGCAGGTAATTGCCAGACTCGCCATTGACATTGCCAGATTCTCTCGAATTTACTATTCTTCGCTGTAGCGCGTAAATCTTCGAGTTATTCGTGGCAAAAATGCCTTCCTGTGTTTTTAGATGTTGCACAAATTACACGACAACTGGTGGAGACAAGAAAAACGTTTCGTCTCGTAAGTACGGTTTTTTAATTAAAATGTTAAATGTAATTTCGTTTGACTGTTCTTTAATACGTGTAAAGTAAAGAACTAGATGTAATCTGTGCATGAGAGCAAAAGAGACAATATTATGTGTAATGTTAATGTAATGTTATCCTCCGTATCGGTTAGCCACGCGCTCGCGTCAAAAAGCGCCAGCAGCAATCAATATTTAACTAATATTGTATATAATGATTTCTTATATTTACGCGAATACTACACATGGTTAAAACTACTTTTACGGATTTTATCGCGTTTATTTTTGCTTTTAATTACTTTTTTTTAATTCCCGACGTTTCGGGGGCTTTCCAGCACCCATGGTCACGGGGGTCATGGTGGGGATAATATTGTATATTCACCTTTTTCTAACGACAGGTATGCCCTATGGTTTGTCTCTTTTTGTGAGCACAACGTGTCCCAATAAATAACTTCTCGTAGATATAGTACTACTTACGTCACTTTAAAATAAAATAATGTTAGTGTGTAACACAGAATACTATAATACAGCATAGAATGGCTGTCAATTTTATTTTGTACGAGAATCAGCATCGCCGTGAGCACACAAACAAGCAATTACGTCATATTATCACTACTACAAACCCGATTCGCTGTGTTAACAGCGAATATACACATTTTAAACTTTTGAATGTTTAAGATCATCATTAAAAAATTAATAGCTTACATTTTAATACATAGTTATTACTAAATAGTGTGCAAACTAAACCCATCGTTAATACAATCGCAGTAAGTATGATTTTTTCTTATTGTAAATAAAAAGTTGTTGAACACGTTTAAGATGAACTGTAGTATGTAATGGTATCACCACTAGGGATGTAGTCTTGTTTAGTAACTTACCCGTAACCGGTAAAACTAGTTATGCATCCCGGTATTCCCACTGCACCGAAGACCATCACCATTCAAGTGTAAGCGTGGGCGTAGATTGCTGAATTGCTTCTGGAAGACGGGTGGACTTCGTGTGAACACCGATAACTGTTCTTTAGTTTAATGATCTAGAATAAGAATTAGGATAGTCATAGTTAGGCTCCCACATGTATCGGACATGTAGCTTTAAGTTAGAATCCATCGCGGATTAATTAAGTAGTATATAAGTAATGTATCGCACATTAATAGTAATAAGTTTAAAATAAAGTCTTTTTAAAAACGTCTTGAGTCAATTTCGAATCTTGACTAACTTGAGTGTATTTATTTTTAAATATTTCAATAATATTTTTGTTTCTACAATTTAAAAGAAAAAAATATTTTGTATGTTCCAAATACACGATTCTTTGTAAATTGTATGGAAAAAAAATGTTTTGTATGTTCCAAATACACGACTCTTTGTAAATTTTATGAAAAATATTTCTAAATACATGATTCTTTGTAAATTTTTCGATTAAAAAATCAAAATTTTTTTTTTCAAGAAATAAAAGACAAAAACATAATTTTCTGTCAAATTGTATTAAAGATAGATAAATAGAGTTGTTTAGAATCACGTGTATGAAAAATCCATACTTTACTACAATAATGCGAATGTCTGTATCTGGTCTTTATGGCTAAACTAAACTAAAAAATTTGATAAAATTGAGATAGTTTAAAACCTGGTTAAGTCAAAAAGTGATATCACAGCTATTAGGCAGGCTATAAGTAGGCTGTAAAGGCTACTTTACTTTAGTCGTTATTAGAGATTGGCCGGTATTCGGCATATTCGGCAGCTTTACCGAATATTCGTATTTGGCATATTCGGCAGCTTTACCGAATATTCGGCTAAATCACCGAATATTCGTTTTCATAGTGTCCAATGTATTGAAATGTACGAATTGAGTAATGCGATGTCTTTTACTGTTGAAAGTATATTTTATTTATGGGTTAAATCTACTTACTCTAGAGTGCCTCAAATGCATAAATCTATACATTAATGTTTTTGCGGCACTATGGATGCATTTGTCGTGACCAAGTTAAATATACACGATAAATTCCGTAAAAAGTAGTATTATTTCAATGTGTAGTGTTCGCGTAAATATAAGAAATCATTATGGCAAATAGAAACTTGACAAAATGTTTTTGGAATCAAAAAAATACAATTACATTATACATTAGTACATTTCACTTTACTTTTTTCGTCAGTTTCTCTAAAATAAGTACAAATAGTAAATCTCCTGTCGCTCATTTTTATCATATAATTATCAATTTTCACTAAGAATAAAATTCTTAAGGCTCTTTTTCACCAAGAATAAAGAGCCGTGGTAGCTCAGATGGTTAGCACTCGCTGTAAATTTCAGGTTGCGGGTGCTGTCGATGAATGTCTGGACCAGGTTCCCTTCAATGAGCGCAGGTACAGACTGGTATGCTTTTCGAACCATCTTCTCCACCTCAATGGCCCACTGCTGCAGGTTTTCGTTGCTGCGTTGCACGCGATCTTTAAGCCGCGCGCGAAAGACGTGTTCCAGGTGAGCGTCGCCATATCTCGCCTCCAACGCCTCAAGGAGCTGCTCGTAGAGCACTTACTTACCGAGAGCTTCCAACACAGTTAAGGCTTGGTCGCGCAGGCCTAGGGTGAGTGCAGTCATGGCTTGGCTTTTATTCCAGCCGTTCGCTTCCATGACGGCCTCGAACTGAATTTTATAGGCCGACCAGGAAGAAGTCCCGTCGAACGGCGGCACTTTGAATCCACGTAGCGAAGGTGTTGTAGCTACTACGGGAGCTGTTGTCCACTCCATCTCCAAGTTTTAGGTCATCCAGCGTTTTCTTCACGTCAGCCATCACGTTATCAACCCGATTGTTCATAATATATATACATATAATACATAAAACACTCACGCCTGTCACCCAGAGGGGTAGGCAGAGACTACAGACTTCCATTTGGCACGATCCTGACACACCTCTCTCGCCTCCTTCACATCCATACACCTACGCATGCATGCTCGTCGGTTAAGGGTACTCCTAATTTGGCCCATTTTCAATAAATCGCCAATTTGGTCGATAAATTTTCGCCTAGGACGTCCCTTTCCGACTCTGCCATTCACTTCTGCAACATAAATTTTCTTTGTCACTCTTTCCTCATCCATTCTTTCCACATGACCAAACCACCGAAGCATTCCTTTCTTAATCCTGGTCACAACATCATCTGCAAACCACACTCTTCTCTTACCACACAATTTTTCACCCTGTCATTCATATTCAGCCCTAACATACTCCTTAACGACCGCATTTCTACTGCATTTATTCTACTCTCGTGCTTCTTCTGCCATACCCAACTTTCACTACCATACATTAAAGTAGGGACCAACACAGCATTGTGAATTGCCATACGTGCCTTTTTTGACACATTTTGACTCTTCACAATAGAGTGCAGGGCCCCATTTGCTCTGTTTCCTGCGTTCACTCGTCGTTCTATATCCTTATCATATCTCCCATCCCTGCTAAATACGCAACCCAAATATACAAACTCATCTACTTGCTCGATCAACTCCCCTTCTATTCTTATTTCACATATCGTTTTACTTTCATCTCTTTCAAAAACCATAATTTTCGTCTTACTTGCGTTCACTTTTATATCCCTTTCTTTTAATGATCTGTTCAT